GATGATTCCACATGAGTTTCATCTTTCCTGGCCCAGTGGTTCTTGAGGAGAAGATTTTTTAAAAATGCCAATAATTTTTCTCTAAATCATGATTATCTCCCCTTGGAAAAGGGCGTGGCCCTTCATTTGAACAAACTTGAATCCCCTTCACCCAAGGATACTTTGTGCCAAGTTTGGTTGAAATTGGCCCAGTGGTTCTTGAGGAGAAGATGAAAATGTGAAAAGTTTACGACAACGACGACAACAACGACAACAACGACTACAACGACGACAGACAACGGACAAATTTTGATCAGAAAAGCTCACTTGAGCCTTCGGCTCAGGTGAGCTAATAAAGTAGATAAATAAATGAATAAAATATTGAAATTGATATAAAAGCGAGCAAAAATAATCTAATTAAAACAATGATTTGTTCTATGATAAGATGTTACAAAATCGTTTAGAATTGTCAGAGAAGGAATTCTTTAAAACCATCTAATTTTAATTTAATTCCGTTATCAGTGCGTGTTGATAAGAGAGAAATTAATGGACAAAAATTGGGGAGGGGATGATGCGGCCTACAAAAGTGAATGAATGTAAAATATCTATTGTCAGACAAAAAAGAAAAAAAAAAGCTTTTGGGAATGTGCATGAGGGAATACATACAGTATAGAACACATTTAAACAGAGGCCATGTACTCTATATGTTAATTAATTGGCTTCTATAAGATTTAGCAAACTGCATATTTATATAAGGAAGCAAGCATGTCAAACAAAAAAATTAAATATCTTTTTAAAAATCTTTTAATTTAGGATATTGCATATACGTAATACACGTGTAATATTCCTTACTCCTTAGAACTGGGAGTTCTCCTGGCGGAAAAAAAGTATCCAAAAATTTCATATTGAGAGAAAAATAGATAGAAAAAAACAAATAGAAAATGAGAGAGGAAACTTCAAAGGACACATTTACACCGAGAGGCAAAAAACAACAAAAGCTAGATTGAAAATGATTAATAAACAATTATGTTTTTTAAAATCAGTTATCTTTTTACTATGCAAGTTTGTTAAACTTTTTGGTTGTTTGTATAATTTATCAAACTTTAAAATTAAAGTTTCAAGCTTTTCCGTTTTTTGAATTTTATTTATTTGTTTAATTTTAATTTTTGGCATAAGACATAAAAGACACGTTGTAAAATCAGCGCACACGAACGTTGAAAATGAATTGATTGCGCAATACATCGCAGTGGGTCAAAATTAGGAATGCATGTTTGTCGTCTGCCTTTCTGAGGGGTTTGGAGCATTTTCTATATATATTTAACAAATTATACAAACTTTTATGTAAAACGTTTACGCTATATATCTAATAGATTTATTTTAGGGGGGTGTTACATGTTTTTATACAAAACACCTGCTTTAAATTTCTGAACTCCATGTACATTTTTTCGAAGATAATTATTTTGGAATATAACTGAAAGAATCCTTTTAGAATTGCTTCCTTCATCTGGAGGGAAGTTACCCGCGTGGCGCAGTGGTTAGAGCGTCTGCTCTCGAGTCGCGAGTCGCGAAGTAAGGAGTTAACCCTTCGTCGCGGGTTCGAATCCCACTTTGGGACGTGGAGACCGATATATTTCAGATGAGACCGTATAAACCGAGGCCCCATGTCGCAGTAGGTGCTGGGGCGAAAAAGATCCTTTCCTGCTCAATGGCATGAGTGCCGATTATAGCCCTCCATCGCGGCCACAGGCACTTGGGGTATGGACCCCTCCCCCTTTCCACTTTTATTTTCTTTTTAAATCTGGGGTCGAGTGATTTTTCCTATTTTTGTATTCTAATAGTTTCTATATATTATTCATAATGTAACTCTTTTGCTGTTTTTAAAAATATCGTTTTCGACTGATACATAAAAAGAGGGCTTTCCCAAAAAAATGTAAGAGGAGTTCTGGAAGAGTTCAGGGAACCATAAGTTTGATAGAAAATCAAGTATTTTTTTAAGCACGGAGTTTTTTTTTAAACTACGACACAACTACGTGCTTAAAAAAAACGTCGTTTTCTATAAAACTTATGGTTCCTTGAACTCTTCCAGAACTCCTTTTACATTTTTTTTCAGTAGCCAATTTCAACATCTTTTCAAATAAACTTGGGATTGACTTTTACATGTGTAATGCACAGGTGCTTGACGTTTTTAACCGTTATTTTCATAAATAAACAAATGTGTTTGTGAAACACTATGCGCCCGGCGGTAACAAAGTTCAAAAAAACTATTTTTTACAGATAAGTCACAGTCAAGGTCACAAGGTCATCGACCTTGGTGTCGTTTGAAAGAACTTTATTAGTGAAGTATGCATACCAAATATGAAGTACCTACCTCTCATATTTCAAAAGTTATGGCGGAGGTTAAAGTTGACAACAGACAGACAGACAAACAGACAAACAGACAGGACAAAAACAATATACGCCACGGATCTATCGAACCGGGCGCATAAAAATACTCCCTATACTATTTTTATGCGCCCGGATCGATAGATCCGAGGCGTATATTGTTTTTGTCCTGTCTGTTTGTCTGTTTATCTGTTTGTCTGTCTGTCTGTTGTCAACTTTAACCTTCGCCATAACTTTTGAACCATGAGAGATAGAGGCTTCATATTTGGTATTCATACTCCACCAATAAAGTTCTTTCAAATGACACCAAGGTCAATGACCCTGTGACCTTGATTGTAACCTATATGCTAAAAATAGTTTTTACGAACTTTCACCATAACTTTTGAACCATGAGAGATAGAGACTTCATATTTGATATGCATACTTCACTAATAAAGTTCTTTCAAATGACACCAAGGTCATGACCTTGTTACCTTGACTTTGAATTATCTGTTAAAAATAGTTTTTTTGAACTTGGTTGCTGCTGGGCGCATAGTGTTTCACAAACACATCTTGTTATTTATGAAAAGAAAGGTTTAAAACGTCAAGAGCCTGTGGTGTATTGAGGTTCAAAGACTAAAATTCCAGAGGTTCATCTTTTATATGCTCTTTCCACAGATTTTTTTTTTTTTTTGAGAGTGATCACTGTTCGTTATCTTCACCTTTTGTCATTTTCACCTCAGACTCAGAGGACGATTGGAGGGTAGGAAAACTCTTTTCTATAAAAAAAACAATATTATCTGAACTCTTCTTATTTTTTTCTTTCTATGGTAGCCAAATCATCTTTTTGAATTTAGTGGATGCATATATAGGTGTCCTGCGAAGGGGGGGGGGGTATGGAACTGAAAAAAAAACCCACAAATTAATAATTGATTTTTTATTACAGATATTGGTCTCGTGAGCCCCTCTTGCAGCATTAATTTTTCACAGGAGCCCAGTCCACAGGCACGTGACGAATGGAATGTGTATAACCCCCCCCCCCCTCCAGCCTCATAATTTTTATTAGACACAAAAACTTGAATTCCAATATTTTGGTATCTGTTATCATTTTCCTATTTTGTTAAGTTTAAAAGACTGGCCCTTTGAGGTTTACGAAAATACTGTCTTTCAAAGTACAGAAATATGAGCTGCTTTTTTTGAGATTTTTTTTCCTATTAAAATATGTCATTATAATTTATAAGTTATTTAAACCTTTATGATTAATTAGTCTAAAATCAAGTACTAGTATTAAATCCTTTCAAAAGAAAGACCTTTGTACAATCAAATATTTAGTATCAGAAAAATAAATATTGTACAGGACGACAATAATGTATACAAATGTAATTTTGTTTCATTAAGAGCTTGTGGAGATCTTCTATTACAAATATAAACAGCAGTTTACAAATTATGTTTTTTCCCTGTGTCCTTGAAATAGTTAATGACAATTTTGCAACAGAAAATTTTGACATCAAAGTTGCAGCTCATTGGGCTCTAACAATTTTTGCCAATTTAGTCATGCATACTCATTGGCAATTGAAGATTGTATCATAACAAAAATTGCGCTAAAATAAGATTGATGAGTCCATGACTATACTCTATATGCATTTGTATCGTAAAGGGCCAACTCAACTTTATCCTTGACAAAAACATCTAGGATTACTTTTAATGTTTCTTATTTTTATGATATATTTAATAATTCCGGTTCTTCATATGCAAACAATATATCATTGTAAAAGCAGACTGATCTCAAAGCAAATATTTGTTCAAGTAGTGTATATATGTGAACCGGCATTTTATTTTTATTTTTAATCATCATACTGCTTGCAAAAGAAGATGTAATACGACCAAAAACGTATAAGCCCCCCCCCCCCCTTACCGATGGCAAACTTAAATTCAACTGGAGGTCAACTGATCTCGTTCGATATCCTTTGATAAAATAGAATAATCGCTCTCACCTAGACTTTTTCAAGTGATTTAGTTTTACACATTTAGGTGATAACTGAGTAAATTTTGTTAAGAATTAATTAAAACCAGTGCTTTTGAACAAAAAAAAAAATCAGATTTTGGAATGCTTTTTGTTGATTGGTAATTGGAAGGCAAATACAACGTTTGCATTATTTTGATCAAAAGGTTACTAGATCCTTTAGATTTACATGACTTGAAAATATACGATTTTCGTAACGTACGTACGAGTATAGTCCGAAATATCTGACGTTTTTCAGGCTTTTTTACGATTTTGATATATTACGTGCCAGGAAAACTGGCACGTAATATCAAAATCGTAGAAAAAGCCTGAAAAACGTCAGATACGTAGGTACATGTATATGTACTTCATAGTGAAGGTGAAATGCAGAAACTAGTCCATTTCTATTCAGCTAGGAGGGTCAGTCTCTTTAGCATAAGGTCATGCATTATACTCAGTAAATCATCCGTGTTTGTACAGATGCAAGACACCGAAACCACATTAGATAGATAAAAGTGTCAATCGTCCAATAGATTTAACTCCAACCCCCGCTTTCCTATTATTAATTAAAGCAATGCAGTAATCTTTGGTGACAATTTGATTTTTTCTGAGGTTTTAAAATACAGCGTACAATATTTAAAATAAATTTCCTCCTTACCTTTTGATGACCCGGACCTTCTCGACCTTGCCCCCTCTGCTGACCCGGGTGTCCAATAAACTCCTTAACTGGATCTTCCTCCCTCCCTCCCCACTCTGTCTACGGCCACTAATCACCACAACCGACTTATCGTCGTTTGTCATCGCAAAGTCATCGGATTTCTCAGACTCCTCCGAGACATCGTCACTTTCATTATTATGAGAATCTAAGCTATAGAATTCAGTGTTGGGATAACACACTTTTATATCGATATCAGCATCCGATACTTCATCGATATGTTGATTATCGTACATTCCAGGATTGTCCGATTCCGTATCGCTTTCATGTCTTTCTAATTTGATCGGACTTCCATCCACCAGGAACCTGCCGACCTGCTCCGCCTCCGATTCCGTCCGACTGTCGCACTGCTCCGGATCGTCCGAGTCCGGTGACATCTTGGGGACCCTCAGATCCAGTCCGATGTCGCCATAGTCCCCCATCGTGCCCATGCTTATATATATCAAAACAACGCCATGCGGGAAACGCCCCCTTTCGTACTACGTGTACAGATTATACCTCTGTTGACATCGGTAGATCACACGAACTACAATTTCCTATCGGTCATCTTTATCGAATGATTATATTATAGTAACTAAAGATAACAATGCAGTGCTCAATTACTTTGCATTATACACACCGTCTTTGCAAGTCTATTCAATGAGCTTAAACACACAGTATACTTAGGCACATGTAATCTGTAATATGGCAGAGCACCTTGCATTACATATAGTATCGAGTGTAAGACAGGAGATAAAGTGCTCTTTCAGAATTGAGTTAAGAGAATATCCGGAGTACATCTTCATACGCATCCGATTAAATATTCCGCCCGAGCTAGGAAATACTTATTCGACCTATCCTTGCTAAGGGGGAGTCGTAAGATTATCAATTAGTATAAGCTAGACATGTTACAGAGACAAAAAGGAAACGGCGAGCCACAGGACGTAGTTATAGCAATAATGTTCAACAGGTCTCAGTGTCCTAACATTCAAGGACACTGGACATACATGTACATGTATAGCAATGTAGAATGGACACGTGCGACATATCTTAATTGCAGCACCTCCCACTGGAAACACAATCCTATTCCAGGCCCGAAGTATCAGTGTGCCCCCCCCCCCTACCACCGGACCCCAACTTTTTTTCCTGAACGTAACTTTCAGCACTGAAAATTTTAACTGGAAGGCTGGTTGCTCCCCCTCCCACCACTTTTTGTTGTAGCACTGTGAAGTAATTGTAATTTATTAATGTATTAGAAATAATAATTAGGTTGAAAAAGAAAATGAAACCTAACAACCCCCTTTCTTTCCCACGAAATAGATTTTTGAGTTTGAGGAGAGTTTCCTTTTCTTTTTTGCATTAATGTTTGATTTTTTTTTTTTAGGTATTTTGATTTTTTTTCCATACCCCCCTCCTCCCCGCCAAGTATAGGAGACTACGTCCTGTTTTCAATAGTTATACGTACAATTCAGACGTACGATACAGACTACACAAGAAACATAATAATGCTCTCAGGCTCTCTGCCATAGAAATATTGTACCAAGGGTACATCTGAAGTTTGACCAGATTTGATACATTGTATGGAGCAACAACTAGGGAAATATTAAAGTATGCAATATGATGTTTTTCAAGCTTTTCTTCAAGCTTCTGGTTAAAAAAATGAAACCAAGATTTATGCAAAGTTGCACAGAATATAGTTTATGTGACTGATGACGATCAGCAAGGAATGCTAACACCTCCTAGGCACCTAATCCCATATTTGGAATTTCCCAGGGCTAGTTTTTTACGACCTCTTCATACTAAAAAGATTATAGATTCTTTTGAGATAGATCACTAGCTGTTCGTACTCTTTTCTGTTTTAATTTCCAGTTAATATAACAATATGAAAATGCATTAAAACTTTTGATTAAAACCTATGATTCTAACAAAAATTGAAATAAAAATCCTCTTTGTTCTACTTCCCTTAGTTTGTAAAATGACTTTGCATTACATGTACATAAACTGATAAATGTAATTACTGAGTGTTTTAATGCATATGTATTAAAGTCACAAGAAGTGCAAAATGATGTCATCATCAGCCAGGGAGGGTATAGTTTCAAGTACAATTTCCTCTTAGAAAGAAAACAATACAACAAAATCTAAACATTTAAGCTCTAATTTTAATAATCTCTCCTATATTGCTTAAAGCCTTGCATAACCATATAATTCATTCTCAATACAAATTAAAAATGCCAAACAAATCTTTCACATTTCAAACTTGTCTTTAATTGTACTTATATATATTTTTTAAACAAAGCATTAATAAAGATAATTTTTTTTAAAAAAAAATTATTAAAAGTACATAATTTGATTTATTTATTTATTTCAGTTGACAAATCATTCATAAATTTCTTACAATTTTGAGGATTTTTTTTTTTTTAGGAAAGATGTGGTTTCTAATCTATAAATAAATATCAAAATGTCACCCACAACCCAGCAGAGTGTTTGATTAACATACATATATATAAACCTCTGAATATATCTTACATAAATATATTATCATGAAAATGTGAGACTTTATAAAATATTCTACAATGTTAAAATCTCTACTACATCACAGCCATGCTTTATTACAGAAAACATTTCACATCAGACAGCAAAAAAAGTAAGCAAAAAAATAAATTTAAAAAAAATAATAAAAAGAGAAATAAAATAAATGCAAACATCCTATTGTTATTTATACATATTACAATATTTTTACAAGTTGAGTTTCAGATCAATAAGAATCATGTCATTCTTATTAAAATAATCTATTTCACTCTAACACAGATTTCTACATTATTTGTTTGGGATAATACAGAACTCATAATTTATCTGTCTTTAAAAAAACCAAATGAATAAAGGTTATATATAGAAAATTTAAAAACAAAAGCAATACTCTTCTTTTAATACTGCAATACATGTAATACTAACGTGCACCAAAGCCTTAGAGAATCTGATTAATATTTTGAAGTTAAATAATGTCAGTTCATTCTTCTATCATGTGTATACATGCACATGTTCCTTGATGAAAGAAAATGGCTTTGCAGTACTATCAATATCTAGAACAAATATTGGATTATCGATACAAGAAAAAACAGAAAACAAATAGAAAAAAACAAAAGAAAAAACATTTCTTGAAATACATATGAAAAATCCTTTGGACGGAATTTGCTAAAAGGCTGTTTTGTTAATAAAAGCTTAAACTGTGTGCAACAAAAATGAGTATATAAACAGTTTGTATAATTCATAAGCTCTCTATGCATGGTGTGAATCAAAACTAATTAATATATCTAATACTTTTTTAGCAGGGTTGAGCAAATCATACAGAAAGAAATAAAGTACTTGCTAGCTACTAATAATCTACTGATTATAGTTGGACTTTCCATAAATTGTCATGTTTATTTTTATGTCACCATAATAAGTGTCACAAAATGTATAATTCATACTTGACAGCAATCATTTAGTACAGATAAAATTTAGTTTTGTTTTCTAATTATCAAAAGCTTGAGTTTATGTCATCAAAATCTGAAAGCCCACATTTTCAGTAATGTCATATCTCACCTTTTTATACACTGACATAAAAGACGACCTCTATGTCATTAGACTTTTAACACTTATGTCTTTATTTTGTACTTAAATAACAATGACTTTTTTGTTACTTTCATATTTTGTGACAAATTAACATTTACAAATGTTCTTTGTATACCCCTTTGTTAAATAATAAGCACACTAACATTTCTGTGTTATTTGAGAATGAAATGAATACTGCACACGGATCAAAAAACTCAGATCTATGAATGAATCCACAATGTTGCTCACGACCTAGAACACATAAAGAGAACAGACAATTCAGCAGCTACATTGTTCAATGTTAGACAATATATATATAACAAAAAACAAAAGATGTCCTAACCTCACTTCAAAGCATGTTACATCACACAAGTCTTCTTCAAGAACTTTGCTACTTTTCTTTCCTTTTTTAAAATTTGGTCATGTTTTATAATGCAACAAAAATAGAAACACTTTGACAAATGCTACACTACTGGTATTTACAGAAAGGGAGATAATGTTTGTAAGACATTGCCTGTGCTGACTTGATTTATTTCTAATTTTTCTTTAATTTGTAATTTTTACAAATATGTCAAAAAGTATTTCCATATACATATAAAATAATTTCAAAATTAGTCAAATTGAAACCTAATTATAAAATCATTATTATTTCTGAGGGAAAAAATCTTTCTGAAGAGTTTATTCCTTCTCTTAACAAATTATAAGCTCTATATAAAAATACAATTCTTCGAAAAAAGTATCAGCAGTCTTTTAGAATTTATATTGCTCTGACCGGACTAAGGAACGCCACACATAAGGAAAACACAATTACCATAAATACAACTGAGTAATGAGTACATGAGTTTCATGTAATATATTGAATTTAAAAAAGGAGAAATGCTCATGAATAACTCTTAAAATAAATTTTTTTCTGAAACTACAGCGTACTTTGGTATATAAAAATCTTCAAGTACAGACATAAGCTACCACACTTAACATCTGATTAGATAAAAACAACATTTATTCTGCCCATTAAGCCTTAACAGGGGACTGGTCTTTGAGTAAGTGTGCCATCTACATGTACAGTCCTATTCACTTGTTTTATGCACACGCCACTTCTACCGCGGCTGGCTGAGGTGGTGCCCATGCAATAGTCGGTTGTGGTTGTCGTACCGGTTCCGGTTGAACCATGGTGGCCTCTCGGGATGGTGCCATTGTTTCCTGCCTTTCCGGTGCTGCGGGTGGGGCGGTCTCTACTCTGTGGGGGGCGGGTTCGGAGGGAGGGTGGGGCTGAAACACCGTCGTCTGAGTTGCTGCCGACTCGTTCTGCACCGCGGTTTTGGGGCGATCTCTTGCTGGGTTGTACCAGTTCATGCAGGAGGCCACGGTTTCCCGCACTGTTCCCCTTGCAGACATGGCACGGTTTTTCCTATTTAACAAACTAAGTTTAAGCGCCTCATTGTTCATACAGTTGATTATTTTTTTGTTTGGGTTAGCGGTTTCACTGCCATGGGCGTATCTGTATGAAGTGGTTACCCCTTCAAAAGAGGAGGGGGGTTTCTTTACATAAATCTGAGGTACACTTTTTGAGGTTTTGAAGTCCGTTTTGTATGTTGATACCAGAGGCCGCATCGTTCGCTGAACATATTCCCTTTCTGGCATCCATGTGATAAAGTCCTGCTTGAAGCTATAGGCTCTGTTGGGTGCCCTCTTACGTCCTAAGCCCTGAAATCACAGAAAACAACTTCACTCTCTGCAATATTTTGGCTATAATGGTATAAAGTATAGTATATACTATATACATTATACCATTATAGCCATGATCATAAACATTATTAAGATTCATTTAAAGACATTTTTAGTTATCAAAAATATTGAAAAACTTGATACTTCAAAATAACAAAGTCAATCAGTAAATCTGCATTGTATGATTTTTCTCAGAAATTGATTTTAATCAAATGAATGATTGAAACAAATTCTCAAAGACTTCAATCTTACAAATGCATGACCTTGAAGTTCATGAAAATAATTAAAATTAATGATAACACTTTACCTGAATTCAAACTCTTACAAAGATAAACATAGGTAATCAGAGATTACAGAGCTCACCTCAACGAATGTTGTCTTTAAATAAGGCAAAGTCACACAATTAACCAACAAAAAATGTACATTCCAAAAATGAAAATATCTAAGCAATTTTGATCTGATACTTTGAAGTAGACCAACATAAAAAATTTAAAGTAGTTCTTCTTCATGAAAATGTAATTCAGCATCTAAAGCAAATTTGAGTTTTCATCTCTTGATGCAACATTTGTGCAAGTTTGGTTTAAACAATGTTATAAAAGCCTTAAAGTTTTTTGGTAATAGACCTGCAACCATAACTTTAACCTGGTCTATTATCTGAAAAATATATATGTCGAATTCAGCATCCGAAGCAAGTCCATTAGTGTGCATCCTGTCCATGCAAGTTTGCACATTATAAGGCTCATAGTTAATTGGAAATGAAACATACATCAAAAACTAACATTTTCACTCATCCACAAAATGTATCAGATATCCGAAGCAAGCCTGGTAGTATGCATATAGATGTATCATCCATGCAAGACTGGTCATTAAAGAACTCATAGTTACTTGGAAATGAAACCTGCACCAAAAACTTTTACTTGTTCACTCAACCGGAAAATGTGTGTTTCAGCATCCGAAGCAAGCCCGGTAGTGTGCATCCTTAGATTTATCATCCATGCAAGTTTGGTCAACATAGGGCTTAAAGTTACTTGCAAATGAAACCTGCTCCAAACACTTTAACCTGTTCACTCAACTGGAAAATGTAGGTCAGATTCAGCACAAGCAAGCCCGGTAGTATCCATCCTTAGATGTATCATCCATGCAAGTTTGGTCAACATAGGGCTTATAGTTACTTGGAAATGAAACCTGCACCAAAAACTTTAACCTGTTCACTCAACCGGAAAATGTAGGTCAGATTCAGCATCCGAAGCAAGCCTGGTTGTATCCATCCTTAGATGTATCATCCATGCAAGTTTGGTCAACATAGGACTTACAGATACTTGGAAATGAAACCTGCACCAAAAAAATTTAACCTGTTCACTCAACGGAAAAAGTAGGTCAGATTCAGCATCCGAAGCAAGCCCGGTAGTATGCATCCTTAGATGTATCATCCATGCAAGTTTGGTTAACATAGGGCTTATAGTTACTTGGAAATGAAACCTACACCAAAAACTGCACCAAAAATGTTAACCTGCTTCAAAAACATTAACCTGGTCATTCCTTTGCTAAAATTGCAGCATCTGAAACTTTGACTGGTACAATGAAACACACTAGAACCATCTTCCATGCATGTCTAATCAATATAGGACATTACTTAAAAAGAAAACTGCTCCAAAAAACTTAACCTTAACCCGGGACGCCGGATAGGGCTCCCCCAACTTCGTTGAGGTGAGCTAAAAATCAAATAAATTTTTTAGTTGATAATCTAATTTAATAATGATATGTACTCACTTGTTCAAAGTACAGTGCATCGTTCAGGAATGATTCTCTGTTATCGTGGTTAGAAAAAACGTGTCTAGCTGTAGGTTGCTGAAGTAAAAAGAGGATATCGTTTTATAAACGTATAATTCTGATGAACATGCTGCTCCAATATAATAAATAAAGTTCAATGGTATGTTAAATGTATCATGCAATGTTTCTAGAATATTAAATAAAACTGAGATTTATGCCATCAGGTTAATTTTGTTTGCTTCAATTGTTTTCTTCTATGATACATGTATGGACAAGTTTTGCCTCAACAGATATATTAAATCATACTAAAATTAAAGTTTACATGCAGTTGATTGAGTTAAAAAAAGAAAATGATTGTGATTTTGGCCTTTTGTCATTAAGTTACTCGTTTTAACTTTAATTTCAAGGTAGGGTTGAAGTGCTTAATAAGTCTGCAACCCTATTTTTTTTCCTTTCTCTTTTCTAATAATCACCTAGCTGATACAAACTACATGTTGTGAAAAATAAACTACCGTACATGTAATATTGATTGAGTATTTTTTTTTAATGTGTAGAAAAGAAAACTTGTTCTTCGTTGGAGGCACGTTCCTGCAGGAGGGTATAAAATTCCATTTATTTACTAAGCTACTTGATGCATCCAATAATTGTCTGACTATTATAATAGGTGTTTTTGTCCATCCATCCAGAAACTGTTTCTGAGGACCGGCTAATTCACCAGACATTTAAAGTCAATAACATATCACAAACATTATAAGACACAGGTCTGTCTTCAACAACAATTAACTTGTTTTTTTATGAAACAAATAAAATGTTCAGTGCACAAATATATTTTGCAATTTAAAACCAAACAAACAAAATAGATAGGTCTGTCAAGCATTTAATCTCGATTCAAAAAACTTAAATAGCAGCCTCTATTCTGTCGCTATTAGCTGTCTATACACTTGTAATGTAATTCGTACCTATGTCTGATTAGCCTCTGAGAAAACCCCACACATAGCGCACATATATACCAAGTAAATACGGGGGCAAATCTATTATAAAAGTTGTCCTAATCAAATAGCGAGCACTTGGATAAGAGTAAAATGGAGCCTGTCATAGTGCTTTGTAAAGAAAGTAAACTCGAGGGCTACTGAGCTATTCTAATACCCTGTATTGATTGGTAATCTCCAGGCCTAGGAGATAGGTCTGCTACTTCACAATGTCATATCTAGGTGCTAGTTTTTAAGCACTGTACACTTGAAAATGCAAATGACGATCCCGTGTAGTTCCTAAGATTCCTTTATTTTTCAATAAACAGATTTTCTTTTCACAATCAAAGTGATATTTAAAAAGATAAACATTACTTTCAAAATATTAATGTTTAGTTTTTAACCTTTTCAATAGAAAGAGATTTAAATTTTATTGAACCATTCTCTATCAAGCGTTTTTAATTTGATTTTATTAAACTATAAAGTCAATGGCATATTTTGCAGGACACAATCCACTAGATCTAAGGTATAACATTAGAGAGTATACTAACGAAAATTCTGTTTTAATATACAGGTTCGGACCTTAAGCATTTCTTTAGGTAGAGAGGGAGGGGTACCAATTAATTGTCAAAATAAATTTACGAATAAAACTTTTATTTTTTATTTTTTGGGGGAACAGGGGCCAACACCTAGTGACATTTCAAAACTTCCCAGAAATTTAGATCCCTTCAGGTACAACGAATATTTTAGTAAGAATATTCTGTGTCTCGGGACAGCTTGAGGCCTTTGCCTGACAGTTAAATGTCTCCCTTATATCTGCAATGTTGCAGAAAATTGCGGAATTGCTTTTGGAGAAAATAAATGTTGCAGTGAATTGAGCTCTTAAGACATTACTGTACAGTATACAGTATATAGTGTACAGTTACTGTACAGTATTAAATGATAGAAAAATATTGTATAAATTAACACAATTTTCTGTCCTCCTTCAGATATTCAGAAAAATGAAAAGCAAGTTTTGATAAATTAGATCTTTCTCTTCTGTTCAAACTATGTTATAAATACTTCATTAACAATCAAGTTATGGAAATTGATAGTAACAAGTTTCTAAATACTTTTTCAACAAAATAGACTGTGTAAACAAGAGATAAATTATTCATGAACTCAAAAACAAACATTTGAAATCAATACATCAAATACAATGTAAGTGACATCCATTATAAACAATGTATGCATTGATGATCTATAGGCCTTTGGTCACTATATTAACTCCTCAACAGCCCAAATTCTCCAAATATCGATTTTATGGTTATTCCTATTGCCTCATATTGTGATCTTATTTGAATTGTCAGCTCTTATAGGAGTAACATTTGAATACAATGACATAAAAGTCTCCATTCAATTTTTTTGTGTCTCCGGGAATATGTCTTTAATACAAACAAATACTAGTATACACTCAGGCATATCACCGGGTTACCGTGTTTACATGTAACATCAAAATAACAAATGCGATATACCAGTTTTCCACATAAAAGTTTAAATCCCTTGAACACATTGAACAAACGAATCTATCTAAATGATCAAAACGTATATTTAAGGGATGTGCAACAATGTCATAGGTATTGCATTTCCACGCAAACCAAGAAGTCAAATTTTCCAAAGGAATTCCGTCAACAATTAATCAAAATAGGCCCCCTATATGTGAATATAAACTTTATTACTTTTAAATTTTTGACAGTTTCTCTTTATGTACAAACAAAACAGTTTTATTATGTTTATAAATATGGCTGGCCTTTAAAAGTTTTGATTCTATTAAAACCGTTATTTTCTGACATGATTTCACAATATGCAAGAGCTTATTCACAGTAACTGCTGAATTTATTTGACTTTATTTGACATCTATTAATTGCAATAAAATATTCTTTATGTGATCTGTGCGGTCTGAAAAAGCTGCCAGAATCATCAATTTCTTCATTTGCATGTAATAGTTAACTCAAAGAACCTATTAAACAATTTCAGCTACAAATTTTGCATTGACAATGTTTGCTTTGACATTTACGCAGTGATTAGTTAGATCATACATTCTTTTATAAAAACTAAAATTACAACGTTCTGAAGAATATATCACAGACATTGTCTAACTAACAGTAGATAATTTGTCTACCTGTCCCTGAGAGCAGATTTTTATGGCTATGTACACAGAGCAGAATACACAGAGAAAACTCTGCATCGTTGCTACCGAACTAAATTACTGTATAAATTTACTTTAAAATTCCCCCTTTTAAAGTTGTAAATTAAACTGGCTCACTTAAACAGGCATCTTACTTTATATGAAGTTCTGCAGTGATATTCAAAAGTAGTCAGCTTAGATATAAATAGCTTTCAATATTAATTTTTTTTAATTGTTAAAAACTTTGTTCCCCTTTACAAATAAAATTAGATAACAGTGTAACCAAGAATTTAGACGTCACTGAATCAAATGTCTATTAGGATGCATATTAAAGCTAAATATTTCTAAAAATCAACAGACAACTATCCCCTAAGGGGAAAATAATCACCAGGAATATAGAAAAAAAATCATGGAAAATGAAAATCTAGTTAAAAAAAATCATGCTCTGAACATGTACGATAAAATCACTGCAACAAATCAGAAGTATACTGAGAACATTACTTATACTACCTTTGATCTGTTGAAGAACTTGTTTGGAGGCTGTGGCTTTGCTAGCTGCCTGTATTCACAAACAAAATCATTTCTAGTCTTACTGCGGAAATGGCCGTAATAACCAGTTGGAAACTGAAATGTAGGAAATTAAAAGTAAGAGCATTTAAGAATGCCAACTTATATGTACATATTAATGCAATATTAATGCAATTCCCCTGACTAAAAGAAATGAATTAATATGATAAGAAATACCCCTAGGGACAGAGGTGTTATCAAATTCCTAATAAATCTCAATGTGACAGAGATGTTGCATTCTGTATAGTAATTAATTAAGATTAAAAAATAACATTTAAGTTTTTTTTTATTTCAGCTTTATGACAAACCCTTTCTTTTATGACATGCAGAACCTCTAAACTGGAAATTGAAATTGGTGAAACTACATGTACATGTATTTGTCCCTCCTATTTACCATACACACATTCATTCAACCAACATTCATTTGGAACTTCAGCCTCTCTGTCTCCAGCATAAACAGATAATTCCTTTATACTATATATATTCACCTATGCTTTAATTGCATGTTGATTCCCCTGGCCTGAATTCTGTGTTTCAACCTATAAGTACAGAATGTCCCACCCCCTTCCACTATATTTGCCATGTGGGGCACCATGCCTGACTACCATTGTCATGTCATTCACTCATTGACTGAATAAAGGAAGCTGTCTCGAGTAACTGTATCGCCCATGATGAGGATAAATTAAAAGATTGCACTTATAGAACAACGACAACATAAACATCAAATTATTTTTTGCCCAAAATTGCCCTTAAGACTGTGATGAAGCGTTAAATTATCTTATTAATTAGGCTAATTATCATCTTACCCAGCTGCCTACAACTTCTGTTGCGCAGGTCATATCTGATTTCACCATTAACCCAGCCCTTTACGTTGAATGCATAGCATTAAGCCTTCAAAACAACTTATCTCTTTTTGAACTTTCAAATATAACACTTCAACTTTTTTTATCGGCAAAAAATATCGAGTATCCAAGTGCACCGACTACTGCAATGGCGATGTAAACACATCCAGTTGGCCGTAGCTACTCATCGTTATTATCCAATGAAATTTGTCCTTACAATGGGCACAAGGTGCTTGACAAACATCACTTCCGGTGACAGTTCGTCTGCTGTGCAAATGAAATATATTGCGCTGTCTGCATCATATAACGAAGAGATAAGAAGAAAAAATAATAATTACAACAGGTTTATATATTTCTTTTTTATTTAAAAAATAATTTATCAAGTATTTTATTTAAATGGTAAAGTCGCCAGTACAAAAAACTTTAAAAAGGGGGGTTGGGAGTGGTGGTTGTGGGTGTTTTTTATGTCATGAAAATTTCATGACAAAGACTTTGGTTATTATTGTAATATTTTAAAAATTATCTGCATATATTTAGATGTTTTCTATAACACATTTTTATGATAAATGTTTATGTAGATCTATAAAATTTCCGATCTACTCAATTTTTGTTTTCAACCAAGGAGGAAAAAAAAATGAAGAAAAGCATGTTTTCAAACCATGTTTCAAGAAGAGACCTTTTTCTGTATGGTGGACACAAAAGGTATAATTCTGCTTTTTAGTTATTACACTGTTATTGATTACCAAGTTAATTTCCAACTGCTTATTTTACTAAGTGTGTGAAGCTTATATTAAGTTAGCCTAATTAAGATAGTAAAACACATTTCCAGAAAGTCAAAAAATCAAGTTTTAATGATTAATATAACTATTTATAATTCATGAACCCATTCTCTGATTTTGGGATTATTGGGTTATGAATTTTTAAAGTTGCTTGAAGTGCTTTATTTTTTGATAAGTTACTTGTGTCTCAGAGTCTTTATTTTACATTAACAGTCAGAAGAATGATAAGTCCAGCTTCCAGCAGATCTCCACTCAGTCACAAGAATTTTCACAGGGACTGGAGGGATTCAACTTGAGCAATGGTTCATCTGAGGTAGAGGTCAATAATGAACGAAAAATTAAAAAGTTATAATTTGAAGAAAATAAGAAGTCTTTGAGTTGGAGTCATTGGAGAAAAATATTTATTGTTGATATCATATATGAAAAAAGCATCTATAGATGATATTTTTGAGAGTACATCAAAAATCACTTTTATTTTCTATTGAATCAATAGTAAATTATACATATATTGGGCAAATTTTTGGAGCAGTTTGAGGTGCATAGATCAGCTCTGATAGGAAATCCTCACGCTCATTGGACTATGACATAACAACTACGTCACTCAACTGATAAGGGTTAAATTTGCACACTATTCGACTGATTAGGGTTAGTCTTGCACCCTCCTGAGAGATAAGGGTTAGTCCTCTCTGTATGAAGCCTATTAGGGTTAGTCTTGCGCCTATCCGAGAGATTAGGGTTAGTCCTCGCACATTATTCGACAGATAAGGGTTAGTTTAGCATCTGCCCTGGAGATTTCGTCTGAACGTCTTAGTCCTTGCATACCATACGATGGATTAGGGTTAGTGAATCCTTCTTTTAGTTAAATTAAGAAATTAAGTTGTTTCTGTAATTTTTTCAAGATCATAATTCAGATTCATAGGCATTTCCTTCGTTTGTTCACATGGCTAAGTCCGAAAGAAATGACACTAAGCATGCGCCGCATGCGCTTCGTTCAGAATTATTCTTTGTCGATTTTTTCCATGAATAAACAACTTTTTATTAATTTTTTTCAGAGAACAAGGTTAAAAACTTTGTTTAAAAACAAAGTTTTAAACTAAACTTATAATTAAACTTTTAATTCAATTTTGGGGTCAAAAGGCCAAAAAACCTCGTATTTAAAATTTTTTTCGATCGCTCACGCGATCTCATATATACTGAAGTCGCCTTTGGCGACACTACATTTTAGCGCGTTTTTCTGGGGACCGGTAAAGTAAAGTTGTTCCGTAAATTGTACATTATAATATTGGGCAAATTTTTGGAGCGGTTTGAGGTGCATAGATCAGCTCCGTTAGGAAACCACTGAAATATATATATCATATTTTAATAGCAGTTGTCCCAAGGAAGGAAAATGTTTGACAGTTACAACACACCACAGAGTAGCAGTAACAAGAACCTGGCCTCTCTGATGAAGCCTATCTCCAGTGTGTCTTCAGCCCCAGGGCGCCCAAAGTTCCAACAGCAATACCAGAACAACAGACTCAAAGCAAAGGAAAATGAAGACAGGTAAATAAAATTATTACAAGGGGAAAAGAGCAGTTAAGTCTAGATCTTACGGCATAGCTATTTATTGTGTTTGAGTGAACCTCAGAAAAGCCATGATGATCTTGAATGTTAAAAAATTAAACTTTTAATTAAATTTTCATACGTTTAAGCCTCTTTCTGAGTTAAAATGATTTCTGACCGATTTAATTTTCAGAGAGCTGATGCAGGCAATATCGCACACTGTTAGAGAATGCTCAGAAGAGGTTAGTACATTAAGACATCAAATCATTTTTTCAGGATGTCTTGGTTGCTAAATATTTGTATGTCCTTCCTTTATCATTATATAAAACAGAAATTATGAAATGTATTTAGGTTCAAAATGCCATGAAAGTCATACCAGAACACTTGGGAGAACACATGCAAATGTTTGGAGATTCCTTAACAAAACTGATCAATGACAGTGAGTATAAAAATATATATGAAAGTGCAGGACAATTAACATTTTAAATGTGCAGTAAGAGGCAGATCATTCAGGTGAATGACACCTCATGCTTTCTGTAATGAGGAATAAATTTTTCAAATTTCCCAAAATTTCCAATTTAAATCCCATGTTTATGCATTAATCTTTTGAAAACAGATCTGCAAGAGCAGTTTGAAAATATCATCCTGACTTTTCAAGATCAAAAAGATGCTAGGCAGCAGATTGGTGAAATGAAAGGAATCATAGAAGAGGTAAATTTGTCTTAATCAAGGAGAGTAGCCATGGGGTCAAACCGTCAAAGGTGTTCAATGCAAATATTTGTGAAGCAAAATAAGTAACTGTTTCATGTCAAAAGCTTGCAGAATATATATCTTAGTGCATGTATGTATATAAAAAAAGAGACATGTTTCATTATCCAAATTTTCTGCAATTAGAAACAAGCACAGATAGATGACCTCCAGAAACAGTTGGATCACCATCAGAAAGCCGGGTGTCAGCAGTCAGTGGAGAAAGTGACCGATGTCATTCACAAGAGCCGGGATCACGTGGACAGACAGCTCCTGACTCTGATAGACAGCAACCAGGCCATCACAGAGAACCAGCACAGGATACTACAGGGGCAGGAGAACCAGCTGAATGTCGGGAACCAGAATCACAGCCAACTACAACAGAGACTGGATAACATGCCAACGAACATCGGGAAAAACAGCAGGTACATTTGTTTACAATAAAATAAAGTAAATTGAACTTTAGATTACTGTGTCAGTGATAATGGTTGCGGCAATAGGTACAAGAACTTTTTCAATTAAGATATTGAACAAACCAATAATAAAAAGACTAAAGAACCAATAAATTTTACATCAGATGATACCTGATTACACTATATGAGAAATCTGTAGAAGTTAGGTTAGAGTTTGAGTGAGATGAAAGAATTTAATTTTTTTATAATTGCAGTTTTGCAGAAGAAATAAAATGTATAAGAAGAGAATTAGAAATCCAGAAGATGGAGGCTCTAGAATTCTTTCAAGATTTGTTCACGAAGAGCAGTGATGAGCAGACCAGAGACATTAGCAAACAAATAGAGAGTGAAGTAAGCCGATCCACCAAAACCATCTGTAATACCTCTAACAGTGTGGCCAACATCCAGAGAGATTTCCTTCATGATACAATGAAAGAGCAGCAAGAAGAGCTGAAGGCCTTCCTGAAATCTGAACTACAGAGGGCACACAGAAACCAGTCCAGCAGGGAATCTGTGGACTCCTTCCATGCAAAGCACAGAGATTACACAGAGACCTATAATGATAGGAAATGTAGATCTCCTGCCCCAGTACAAACCGGGAGAGAGCCAGTTGGTTTTGTTCAGAAAGAGAGCAAAGAAATCAGACAGCAGGACCCTCAACAAATTCAGTTTTATGACAATCCACACAAAGAAACCAGTTCTGTGTTCAAGTCTGAAAGGAAACAAAAGTCTACCCAACACGATTTTATGTCTCCTGACACAAACGGAAATCATAGTCAAAGCAAAGCGTTTTTCCAAAGACCAAACCCATCTCCTGTTGCCACAGTTCTACCACAGCCCCAGGAGAAAGGCCAGTCCCAGGGGAGGGGCCAGTCCAGAATTGGGAAGGAATCCCAGGAAAACTACCAGGCAGGGGACAGAGGTCAAATGACTCAAGGAAGAGCAGACAGGAAAAATGACAAGTTTAGAAACATGGCACCCAAAAGGAGATCGCAGAGGATTGCAGAATTTTCACAAAATTCGGAAAGCAGTTCAGAAAACATCCCTGTCAACAGTATTCCTGTATATGCCTCTCAGAACTGTTTTGATAGTCAACAATTGTCATGTTCTTCAAATGAATCACAAGATGACATTATTTCATCTTATGCCAAGAAACCACGATATAATACACAGAACCATGAATGTCACACTAGCTTGTCAAAGAATTTTGCTCTTTCTGCTGATGGTCACCTTCCAAGGCAACATACTTATAACTATGGAACAGTGAGACCAAATGTCAGAACTCCATTAAAGAAGTTTGGTAAAGATGCTGATGTTTTCCAATTTTCTGAAGAAAATTCAAACTTTCCTAAAACTGGACTTGGAAATCCCATCTCTAGAATGAATAAAAGAGAAAAACTGGTGGAAAATGATACAGAAGTGGTAAGTTAACCGCTAGGATCACAACTTCTGTAGTGAAATTTTCTATCGAGGCTTGCATAAAAAATGATACCATAGTTTGTCATTGCCATTTTCAGAGAGGTACATGAAACTTTTCTAGCTCTAGATTAATGAAAAACTGCAGTTGGATATAATCAGTAACATGTTAACCTCCTCATCTTGTAACTGGTTAAAATTTATGATTTAATAATATGGAGGAATGATTGATTTTTCAGTCTGAAGAGAGCAGAGACTCCTCCCCTTCAGTGTCCATCACTAAAATCATGATCAAAAGGAAATCTCGCCGAGATTCACCCGCCTCGTCCGTCTTCAGCAACTTCAGGACATGTACATGTTTATCTACTTCAATATGTTGTCAAATACTACAATATGTTGTCAAATACTATAATATAATGTAGTTAAAGCATTAAGCCATTAACTTTGCTAATTTTTAAGTAGAAAAAAAAGAGAAAATATACGAAATAAAATGGGGTTACCTCAAAAATATGTTTTGCAGACTCCCATTCCAAGGCCAAACCTATCACTTCTACTCCAGGATACCAGCCATCTGAAAGTGGATGGAAAGTGAACAGAGGGGTAAATGCCTTTTGAGAATTACTTCTTTAACTAAGATATTTTCATATTATAAAAATTCATTTATAAACCATGCATTCATTTAGTTTTATCTCTGACAAATTTGTAAACGTAGGACATTCTGACTAAGAGACAGGAGAGTTATAAGAGGAACCTGATGCAGGTCGATGATGATCTACTAGAGTTGTCCCATAGGATCCAGAACCAGCTCAAAAGGAGGTGATTGAAATACTGGAGTGGTCCCATAGAATACAGAAATACTCGAAAGGAATACAGTCCCAAGTTCGGAAATCAGCTCAAAAGAGATGATGAAATATACACGTACTGACAATATGTTAGTTTTACCTTGAAATACATGAATTTATTGAAAAGTTTATATTGTTAAAACAGACTACACGGAAAATGAAAAAAATTGTTTGTGTGATTGTGTGTGTGTGTTACTTTTTTTACTTCCATATATAAATAACACGGAACTGTGATATTCAATTGAATTTCATACAGTTTTTTTTTCTCAAGGAGAGCTTAAGCATCTTCATATGTTACAGGACTAAAAGACATGTACATGTGTGAGCCATATGTATATCTAGAACGATGCAATGTGTGTGCAATACTCCTCTGTATTAATTTGATCAATTTTCATTATTACTTTGTTGTTATTTTTTTTTAACAATGGTGGATCCATGATCATCAAAGCTGATGCCTGTGATATTGTTTTATGACGTGTAAACAATGTGTTGGAACTGTGATAGTTTTAAAAACATGCCAAGTACATGATGGTTTTCTTGTTTTGATTCATGTAAATACAAGGTGACGAAAAAGATGTTAATTTTCTTTGTTATATTATTGTTTTGATTGTATTCCATTAAAAGTTACTGTTAAATGTTTAAATTCGTGTTTGTTTTTTCTAATTTTTAAAATGCTTTATATATAAGAGTTTGCAAAACCATTTGATGCATTTTAGAAAATGTGACTTTGTAGCCTGGTTTTTATATTTGTGGACAAGAGGTGCCATCAAATTGCAAGTAAACAGCCACCACAAATCTAATGATTACATGGTATTCTTTTATACACATGTATATTAGAACCTTTTGTTCTGTTCCTTGACCATTAAATCAAAAGTTCACAATATATCATTTAATCATTCAGATTTTTTGCATTTATCAATAAAAAAAAATTATTTTACAAAAATAAAACTTCTCGGTAAAGTATGAGAGGTAACCTTTAACCATCAAAATGATTTTCTTAAAATGGCAATTCTTGAAGGTAATCCTGGCATTGTGAATCAAAGCCTCTTCCTTTCATAAATTAACAAAAATAATCTCTTGATCTGTAGTTTAAAATTTTATTATAAAAGAAAATTATGAGTGACAAGATTTTTTTTAATAAGACAGAATCAGTAATCAAACTCTTCATGAATATCCCCTACAAATTCACATATATGATCATAACTAATGTTTAGAACACTGTCCCGGTCTTGTAATAACTGCACAGCAGCTGTAGATTTCTTCTTGTTCCTCGACATTAATTCTCCTAACTGAAAGAAGAGGGAAAATAAAACATTTAAGAGCAAAACTCAACACATTACTAACCAAATTAAGTATTAAACTTCAACAAATTGTAATTGTTCAGTTTTGAAATTCAGCCAGGAAGTTTTAGATCTTTATTTAAAGAAAGAAATCTCTTGAGGAAAAAGAATTTAAATCATATTTAAAGAAAGAAATCTCTTGAGGAAAAAGAATTTAAATCAAACACATCACATTTTAAGGGAGATAACACTGTGAATCATTACCTGTCCTCTAGATTTTCCTGACACGATCAATACAAAGGCCCTGTCTGATTTAGGAATGACTGTTTCTAACTGAAGCTGAGAAAGACCTGAAAACAAGAAATGAAATTTGTAAAAACTGCCTGTATGATTAGTAAATTATAGGCTTATAGCTTATTAATAAGGAAACATTGAATAATGAATGTATTGGAATACTGGGGTTTAAAATTGGATATATTTTACAATCACATAAGTATAAACAGAAAGGCAAATATATATGTGTAAAAATTTCTGAATTACATATATATTTTTTATACACTGTTTTTATTAACTAACCTTCCAAAACTTTTCCATCTTCTGTTTTACATATACAGTTTTCTGGGCCTGGCACATCTAACACTGTCACCTATAAAAAAAAATAATGCATCTGATTTTTAATAGACTTAAAAAACCAGTTTCATATCAAGATTTTCATTAAAGTTGTTTTACATTCCATAGAAACTTGTTCATACATGTTCCAACTTCCTACAATTGATTATGGCTTTCTTTATTTAAAAAATATCAGAATAAAATATAAAGTGTTCGAAAAATGTACCTTGCTTTTAAAATAGTTTCCTTTCTTATAATTCTTGTCAATAATTCGGACCCTGATTTGTGGACGCACCCAGATTTCTGAAAATGACTGTGAACTGGAAACTTGCTTCTCCCTGTGAAAACAAATTAAAATTAAAACAACATTTTTTGTAATAATACAAAATTTGAATTACCAACAGACAATTCTCAATGAAATTAAAAAAAAAATTAAAATACATGAACTTGTTCGCAATACAAAATTTCATAACAGAGACAACTTACATGTATTATAATTGCAATATGAGATATATCTCTCATACTAGCAATATAAAGTCTAAATGATACGGAGTAAAAATTCCTGAAACCCTACAGATTTCCTTACCTGTCCTCATAATCGTGAGCCCTCTTGTCCTCATAATCTCGAGTCCTCCTGTCCTCCCGCTGAGATTTCTCCTCCTCCTGTAGTCTCCTCTCTCCATTCCTCTCCTCCCTCTCACGAGATCTGTCTCTGTTCTCTTTCCTTCTGTCACCCTTCTCATGTCTGTGTGACCTTTCCTTTGACCTTGACCGTTCTCTGTGTGACCTGTCTTTTGACCTTGACCTATGTCTGTGTGACTTTTTGTGAGATCTTTCTCGTGACCTTGACCTGGACCGTTTCCTTGAGCGATTCTTTAGACTTCCTTTTTCTTTGTACTCATCAGCTTTTCCTTTGTCTGGAATGAGAAAAAAAAATACTCACACTTAAGAAAGATAATTCTTCATTATTCTCACAAAATACATTGGTTACCTATGTGGCTTTTGCCTGAACTATTTCTTGTGAATGAATATATAGTCAGACCTGGTAGATGCTATAATTGGGAGTTGAACTATGTTCAGACTCCCTAGCGCAGTAATTTTACAATGAATTATATAGCGGTCATTGTGGTGTTTCTGTGTCGCCCAATTTACTCCCCTGTGATATTCAATACAAACTCGTACCAGTCTATATAAACTCGAAGAAACTTCCGCAATAAAAATAGTCCATCTCATTTTTCTGAATTAATCTAATTTTCGTAAATGATTTGAAAGTAAATGAAATAGAATTTTATTAAACTTAATTTGAATAGCATGTTTTTGTCATCTTTCTTGAGAAATGACACATAAATTTTGATTTCCGTATGAAAAAAAAGTCCCAGTTTTCCGACATTTATCATTCGGCAATCCTCGGCTGACTCCACTACGCTTCTTTACAAAAAGTGCTAGGTCATCCAAGGAGCAACAACTGGTCTAACTGGTTTGACAATAACACGATTGTCTAAATATAGAAACGTAAACAAAGAACGTTAAGGTTTAACCAAACTTCTTTCAATTTGTTTCAGCAATAAAGAGACAGAACAACGTTTCTTTTTTTAAAAAAACACTGCGGAAAATATTTATTTGCTCTGACAAGTAAAATGATCTGTTAGACTGGAAAATTTTCGTCAGATCAGATACATGCAACTCATTTTTTACGTTGGTAAAGGGAAAAAATAATAGCATTAAAGTTTGTTGACATTCGATCACACAGTTTAAAATGACATTAATTTTGCATCCTTAATTTCATGAATTTATCAGCATTCAGTTGGTCACGTGTACAACACCAAATCTGAACTTGAAAAATGTGTGTGTACTTGTATTGCAGTATTACCTTATAAAATGTATCATTTGATTTTATTATATAATAATTAAAATAGTTAAGATTAATGAATACATGCGTATGCACAGACACAATGGTATGATAATCCCAATGATCGATATGTGAGAAAGATCGTTCCTCATGATTACAACTATTTTTTTCTTGTAGTAGCTCGTTAAAATATGTCTGATTTTTAATTACGTTTGAATCAAATCAAAATCACAAACTTTAAGTCTCACTCGCGTGGCGCAATTGTTAAAATAGTTTGCTCTAGAGATTCAACGTAATGTGTTAATTGATCCTTACGTCGCAGGTTCGAATCCTGTGGGATGCATTTGGAGATAAACTCTTTTGATGAGACAATATAAACCGAAATCCCATGTTGCAGTATGTGCTTGCACAAAATGATTCCTCACTACTCAATGGTTTTGAGAGCCGTGTATAGGTAAAAAATTGTAGACTTACATGTAGCGAAGTGTTTCAATATGATTGAAAAATTATCGAACGTAAAACAAACAAAATGTAAAGTATTCAGACATACTTACTTCTATATAGATATTACTTGAAATGAAATTTAAAATTATGGAATAACAAAACTTGATGATTAAGTTATAAAGATAGATACATTTCATAAAATAGATAAGCATGGAGTTCTATAAAAATTAATTATTGTGTCTGAAAAGAAACATTCATACCCAAAAGAGAATAGAAAATACTTGTTTTAATCAGAGAAAGAAAAATGACAATCTAGTGTCTGGTGATGGTAACATCGAATATAAAGAGTGTTTGTTTGTTTGTTTGTTTCTTGGGACCAAATATCTTGTACACATTCCAAAGAGAGTAGGGGGCATTTTGATTCAAATGTTTCAGAAATATAAGGGTAGTGTTTGAGTTTTAGTAATAAATGGTACTGAAAGAAGTTTAAAACCTAACAACAAAAATAGTATTTTCGAGTTTGAAAATTATTTTTTTTGGTGATGGGGGTTGTTTGTTTGGTTTGGTCAAATTGCTGAGGTAAGAATTAGAAAGAATTAATCCAGAACTAAACTTAACTGTTCGTGCTCAATAAATATACAGTTTTTTCAATGGATAGCACTATAGCTCTCCGGTCTGTCAATTTTTTTTTCGGAGAGCTACAATTCTGCAGCTAATTTAAGAGCAGTCCCATGATCTTGGCTATTTAAATGCAATAGAATTCATTTTTAATGTTTCGTTTTGTATCTCTAACAAATCAGTTCTAGCTGACTTGAATCTGAATGCATGAAGATGTTCCTGTACTTCCTGTGAGATCTTTCAGATAACAATGTTCAACTCCCATGAGTACTTTCAGTACTTTGATTTTTTTTAATTCACTAGAAACTTTGGAAAAATAATTGATAGTTCCTTATTACACTTGAAACAAGAGATGTTTGTGAAACACTTACACCCCCCCCCCCCTACTTGGACATACATGTGAAGAAAATGAACAGAAACCGCAACTTATTGAAATTTTTATAAGTCCAAGGGGCATAACTCTGTCAAAAATTGCTCAATCTAATCCAAAACAGAACCTAACCTAAATATTCTTTTGATAGGAAGATAAGTTTAAGATATTCTTGTATACCAAATTTCTTTTCAGTATGTGCAACTTCTGCGAAGACAATGGATGGAAACTGTTGGTGGACCAGCCGACAGCAGCAAAGCAACATGCCCTCCCTTCTTCAAAGGAGGGAATCAAAAGTAGATGTATGTACACGTACTACATTAGGTCAAGAGATTAAACTTTCAAAGATTGTCAAATACATGTATTCTATTTACTTTTCAGGTACTTGTTATATAAATACTGAGGTACTTGGAGTACTTTTCGTACTCTTTTTTCCTGACCAGCCTGATGTCGTAGTGACTCCGGGTGATGATTTTACTGAGGTACTTGTTATATATAGTACTTACTAAGGTACTTGGAGTACTTTTCGTACTCTTTCTTCCTGACCAGCCTGATACCGTACTGACTCTGGGTGACGATGTTACCAGACAGGGTCAGCTTGACCATCACGCGGGCATTATCCTCATCCAGGCCCTCAATCTAAAAAACAATCGCATCAAAATATAAAATCTTAATCAGTAGACTCACACGACATTAATACTAATCCATAACCTCAATCTACAAAACATGTCACATAAAATTCTTTAATTTTAATCATTAGACTCAAAGGACAATCTTTAAATCAAGTAAAAAAGTTATCTGAATCAAAGTACCGTATATCAATAGTAATACAGTATACAAGATTTTGTTTACATTTTCTGAATTTACAACATTAGCCTAGCATATTTGTACAATTTCACAAAGTTGTTTAAATGTTAAATCTTGCAGAAAAGAAAAACACAAAAAATACCTTCTTAGAAGTCCAAAAACATTATAAAGTCAGCATTTCAAACAACTTTAAAGATTCAGTGGTTGCGCGGGTATGTTAAGGAAGCATATAAGTAATTTCTCGGGAAATTTAGACTTTTTGAAGAAAATTTAGTTTAATAAATTACCAAAGCCACTGATAAACGTAAACTGTCATTTACTTTTGCATACAGACAAAAGCGTGTCTAACGCAAAGACGTGCATCACCGCCACGGCATCACGTGACTTCTATTAATAGCAAAATTTTCCTTAATAAAAAGGCTAACAGAACAACAATACCCCGGAGTTTGATAATTTCTTTGAGTATGCAATATAGCTGAAAAACATCTATTTTGTCTAAAAAGTGCTGCTAGAATCCCACTATCTTGTCTGTAAAATATTTATTCCACACATTCGCACGAAACCTTACCCTTTGTTTTGAATTTTATATATATGAATCGAGATTTTTCGTACAACCATGCTTAACTCGGGATTCTAGCAGCACTTTCCAAGTTTGTCAAAATGCAAACTTTCAATCTGTACAAATCGTATGTTTTAAAATATCCAGCTTATTGTTGTTCTGTTGCAATTTTTGGTCAAGAATGACGGACGATAGGCCGACCGAGATACGTAATATAGCTGACTGTCTTCAAAAGAGAATATAATCGATGAAAATAAATTAGCATACCTGTTTAATTAATTGACCTCCATATGAATTTAACACAATATTTCCGATATTTTCTTTTAAACTCCATTTTATGTATCTTTGAACATGACGTCTTAGCCAAATTCTCTTTACACGACATGATCAATTCCCAAGTTACTTGAAGTACACATATGACGTCATCGGTGGTAGATTTCAATCATAATGACTGTTACAGCATAACAAAATAAAAACATTTTATTTTTGTTAATGTTTACACCTTTCTAATCATTTTCTAGAGTTAAATTACATAGCTAAGTACCAATATTACGAAAACCTGATTTCTAAACTTGACGTCATCTTGCCTACTATGACGTCATAATGCAGCACTGATATAGCCAAGGTAGAAAATTTTGTATGCTTCCTTATTCCCCCTGCGTGTAAATATCATCTTACCACTCCATACAGGTCCTTGTTAGCTCCCTTGGTGAGGACGCAGTAAGCTCCCTTCTTCACGGTGAGGATCTCCTCGTCTTTGTCCTTGCCTTTCTCCTCCCCGTTCCACTTGGCTTGTTTGGACTCCGAGATATCAGCCCCCAACCCCAGACCCTTGGGGCGAAGTGTCGCAATGACAGGTGTAAAATTCCTACAATAATAATTATTGAAATTGTCAGAAATATTACATTGATTCCATTTTCTTTTTCATTTGAAAGGATGAAGAAAAAATAAATAGGAGCATATCATAATGACATCATGTGTTAAATGCTTATGGTAAGATCAAGCAATTCTGAGTTCTTACTTCCTACTTGGTTGGTTTCACTATGTTCTTAGAAACTTCTGACAAGGTAAGTCATACAGACTATTGAATATTTTTACCATGCAAAGCAATAAATAGCAAATTATTTGTATTTTGCAACAATATTTGCCTATCCCTACCCAATCCCTCTTTAAATGTAGGTCAAACTTGCAGAGACGTGAATCTTTATACATTTTATCAATTACAAAATTTAAACAAAGAAAGCTTAACAGATGGACGAGTTAAAACAGTGAATCATTTATACTGTCATTATACTTTTATTTCTGAAAAGATAATGACTTACTTTTTATTTTTTCCAATGCCCTCTCCTTCTTTCCACCCCATTCCTTTTAACATGGCCACACCAAAGTTTTCTATTGGAATCTCCTCATAATCTGCCTCCTCTGGCTGTAAACAAAATCAAAAGGTCTTCTAAGCACTTTCAAAACATGTATAAATTATATGTACAAAAAAAAGTTCTATTCGTTAGCAAAAAAAAAAAAAACTTCTCAGATAAATTTAGGTTAAAAAAAATATATGAAGATTAATAATACGGTTGATTTTCATAACTACATCCTGTACATTATGTATTTTAATAAATTGTATAATATTCTATTCTAGGTTTTATTAACTTACTTCATCGGGTCTTAGCGAAACGTCTAGTTTCTCATCTGTTTCAAATCCCTCTGGAACTTTATTCTGCATTAGCAAAGGAATGGCTAGGTCAGAGTTGTCTACCTTTCCCTGTTCCTTCCAAGCCTCATTCCTTCTGGCAGCATCTAAAAGTAGACCACATCACCTTGTTAATGTTATAGTCAGCATTACATACTGAAATTAAATTCGTAATGTAAATACAGAGCATCTAGTGGAAAAAGATTAGTATCATTTTAATTATTTCATTCTTATTGAAAATCAAATAGGAAAAAATATAACCATTATGATTTCAACAATTTTTTTTCTTTGTTTTTGAGATTTAGCTAAAAGTAGGCAGACCACAATATTTGGTGAATGTACAAATGATAATAAGTTACCCTCTATAATTTCTCTGACGGCCTCATCCTCCGCCTCGTCTCTCTGTTTATCGGACTTCAATCCTGACCTCCAGTCATTCTTCTGAATCAGAGGGATCACATACTCCTTCTTCTCTTTCTCTGGCTTTGATCTGAAACAGAATAAGATAAAACGAAATCAGAAAACATAAATAAATCAGTATTTTCCTCAGACTTTAAAAATGTTAACACCACTAGCTTTGCTAAAATTTGTTTTAAAAAGTTTTTGTAATTTCAATTAAGTCATGTACAACATGTTGTCCCTGTGACTACAGGAGTTCACGATTCTATCTATAAAATCAATTAGAACCAACAGGAATGCAATGAGTCCAGGGAGAAATTGACCAGTTTGCTTTTAATCAAAGCTTATTTAGTCCAACAAAAATTGAAATCAAACTAGAAGTATCGTAACCATTGAGGTCACTAAATGATACCCACCCCTCCAATATGAATATATAAATGGCAGTGTCCAAGTATAGCTATGGGAAACACAAAATATCTGTCTGATCAAAAAGAAAAATAGGAGATGCACAATGACAATATGTAGTAAAGATTCTTGAAAGTCTCTTCAAATTTCATTCAGTGGTATGAGAGGAGTTGCAGAGATGGATACCCCAAATGGCCAAAACCATAAAAGACGGATGGACATAAAAAGGACGTACAAATGTCCCAATTACTAGAAACCCCCACGCTTTTCAAGCGGGGGGTATAACAATATTACTCCACTTAAATTTTAGCTTTCTTATCCTTCTTGCATACCCACTTTCTTCAAGGTTCGCAGTGAATGCATCATCATACAATACCTTCTTGGTACATGTGGTAAAAAGATTGTTAAATGTTTACGTAAAATCAAAGAAAAAAGGTATTGACAGCATTCGATTAGGGTTTTAAATCTTATTTCAGTTGAAAAAAGTTTGATATAAATGCTGACTAGCTGAAATAAGCAGTTGGTAAGATCTAAAGGTCCATTTCTCCAAAAATTTGTTGGATTCCTGTTTGCAATGTTAACACATAGCTCATGGCTCAATCAACTGAGTGATTTCTACTAACTTAAAGTCTTTATTGATAAAATTTGAACTCCTGTGTCGTGGCCATATGCAGCTAAACAGCCTGAGTCCTCTTGAATTCTGTACTATACTACTAAGAAGTGTGAAGAATATTCCATAGAAGTATTTTTCTCTGTGGAATTACTTTACGGTATGTATGTACACAGGCACAAAAATTTTTTAATACTTTTAATACGGCAATTATAAAGTTATTTCATTGACTAACAAAAATTGGAAAAAATAGAGAACCCGAAAGATTATCTTGTTTGTTATCCTTGATTTTATTTAACATATATTTGAATCATTTATGTACAAGAGCATTTGGTGTGGAGATTAAATTTCCTTGACGTCAGCTGATGGCGATCGTTCGGACAAAATTTAAAGTTTGCATTAATTTTAGTAGATAGCATTAAACACACGTTGGATTTAAACTTTAGGAAGAAATGTATGGTGAGAAATATCATATTCGAACCCAATGCTACATGCAAACCGGTAGGCATACTTGATTTATGTGTTAAATTGAAGCCTGTGTAACGGGAGAGGAGAAAATGCAGTGGACCAGACCAGGATTCGAACCCGGGCCCCCTGAAACTCCAGTCAGGTGCTCTACCAACTGAGCTATCTGGCCAACAGCCATCGAACCCAGCTGACCGCCACATTCCTCCCTCCTGAATGGTCTTTGGCCCTCCAAAGATCCCAACCCAGGCTCATCCCTGGCAGGCCTTTCACCTGTGAATTCCAGGGCATGGCACAGCACCAAATGTAATGGGAGAGGAGAAAATGCAGCGGACCAGACAGGGATTCAAACCCCGACCCCCTGAAACTTCTGTCAGGTGCTCTACCAACTGAGCTATCTGGCCACCGGGGATCGAACCCGGCTGACTGCCACAAATGAATCGAGCAGGGGGTCAATATGGCGTTGCAAACTTGTGTATTTATAGCGAGCGCAGCGAGGCGGCGTGAAGCGCCGCTCGTGTAGCAAGCTCAATAGACTAAAGTGTACGAACGGAGGAAATTCAGGTTGAAATCTGCACATTGTTCCAAGAAATTTTTATGAGTCCACGTGAAAAAATTCTAAATTCCCAATAATCCTTTGCGGTGCATGGCAACATGGTGGCTAAAACATAGCAACAACTTACTTGAAAAAAATTACAAACAACAATTTAATGCAATCTCCATGCCACAAAACTATCGTTTGCGTTCTAAGTCAACAAGACTTCTTATTTGACATCATACTTTTGTCACATAAAAGCTCAGGTATTGCCGATTTTGTCGGAAACTTCCGAAAAGTTCGGAATCTCGATCCCGATGCCTGGGAAGTGATTTTTTTTTAATAATTCTTTTCTTCTTTTTTAATGAACTAGCTGAGGATAGGCAGTGCAAGTCAAAGCTGTGTAAATGTTTTTGATTCTAAATAACTGTGCTCGCCCCAACGGTCGCACCGTAGAATATATTATATAGAGGGGGTAGAATTTTTCAATATTTGGCTAATTTAGCGACTTATTGATAAAAATTCAGGTGTCTGTGGTATGTTGATAGTCAAAATTTTTAAATAATAAAGGTCTCATTGTATAAACACATATATATACATGGTGTACCCAAAGTTTTGTAAATTTGTCGAGGCAAACTCAGAAATCTGCACAATTTTCTAAACTACCAGCGAATCTGACACTTCTGTTGATTAATGAGTTAGGGCTTTTTTGACGAAATACTTCAATATAAGAATATGCTTTTCTTTTTTCACTCCAAGGTAAATACGATAACAAAAATGCCGATTACGATTTACTCTACAGCAGTGAGTAGGAAAAACCGTCTGAAAACTGATTCAAGACTAACCCTTTTATGGTTTTGTTATCAACTGAAGTTACATAGTCAATTGAATCGTCTTCTTTCTTTTCATTTTCTGCCGCCACTGATTTACTAAGGTCTTTTCTCTCAACTTTCTTTGAAAAGCCAAAAGAAAGAGGCTTCGTCTCCGCCATGTTTATTTTCACCGGAAGTCGTGAAACTTACGTTGACAAAAGAGTTTCTTTAAGGGTAGACAACTCCCCCCCCCCCCCCCCCCAAAAAAAAGATGTTCTTTTCTATATACATTTATTTAATTATAAGCAGTACAAGAAGTATTCTTCTGATTCATGCACATGAAATCATAAACTAATAAAAAAAAAACACACAGTTTTAACGCTTCAAGTATAGCCAAAGTAGTCAGATCAAGATAAAAAGTTTTAATAAAAAGTCTTAGATATTGTCAGGCCAAATCTTTTAGTTTCTATGAACCTCGATGAGGTAGCCCTTTCCCAACCGACTGGGAAAAAAAAGTTCCAACTCAAAATTTTTTTAACCTACAGTACAAGAAGCAATTTTTTAATGCATTCTGGATATTAGATTTTGAAAATTAAGCATTGATCATGCAGTGATAAAATTTTCTAGGAAAGAAATTCTACCCACCAATCCGGCATTTATTTAATTCTTAGTCGTAAATGGCAAACACACATTACTTTAAAGTTACTGAACAAAAAAAAAAATAAAAAAAATAACCCCTCACCCATCACCACGATTTCGTATTGAATTAGATTTATGAGTTGGACAATATCCCTCCTTTTCGCTGAGATTATTTATGACCCCATACCCGCCCCCTTAAACAACATAACATGTACGCAAGTTAATTAAAGCCCCTGGAAAATAATATATACAGTGTATATAATATCCTTGAAAGTATAGCCATATACTGTACCAAGAAATAATGTTTTGGATACTATTATAATAGTATATAAATATGGCATTTCCCCCTCAATATAATAAACAAAAACATAAGATCTATATCAAGAAAAAATAAAATTTATGAACAGAATCATCCTACTTTTTCATCTTTGAATATATTGCTTTCCTTTTTTATTACGTTTAATTTTAAACAAATAAAGTCACAGTTTAAAAAAAAAACCTAAAATAATCTAAATTTACTACCCATAACTTTTTAAAATCGTCATATAAAGTTAGTTCATGGTATGTACATTTATTTTGTCAATTCAATATTTTAATATAAAACATAAACAAATTCCAATATCGTTACACAAAATTTTATTATATCGATAGTCATAAAATGAATGAAATAATCGGAATTAAAATTAAGAAATTAAAAATTGGAATTATTCGTTGTTAATGATCTTCAAATAAAATCTTTCAATTTTGTGATTGTACACCGAATGACTCAGTAAAAAAATGAGAAAAAGAAAATTTAAATAAATAAATTAATTTGTTTACTATAAAACTAATCATAATAATTTTTATTCGTTTTTTTTCTTTGAAAATAAAAAAAAGTTATACATCTCATGGCACATTGACAACGCATGCACCATGTATTTATTTAAGGAGAATACCTAGTCCTTGACACGGCCCCTGAAACCCCTTACTGACAATTTTACAAATCGTTATAAAAACTCCGTACGACGAGGTGCGGACGTCGGGGTGCTGTCACATGCTGGTTTCATGGACTGGGTCGTTACATTTCAACACAGGGGTGTCTCTGAACAGGTTTATTGAAAATAGTAAAGGAATCGTATAAAATCTTACCTACAGGTTTCAAAAATGAATTCTCCCAGGGTTATATATATTGAAAATAACTAATAATTAATTTATCTGATTGATTTTCCTTAATTGTTAAAGAAAGATTTCCAAGTCTACAAATTGGTAAGTCTTTACTTTGTCTTTTCACTTAATACAATGTTAATTAAAAAAATATTAATTAGGTTTAGTATTATAATACGATAAGTGAATTTGATGAAGGAAATCAAATCAAAAATACTTTGATAAAATAAAGAAACTAAAAAAAAAATAATAATTAATTATATAAATATATATTTCTAAATTTTTATATGCCAATAATTAATTTTATTGGAAAAATGTTTTCCACCCCCTCCAATTTTTCGTTTTTTTCCTGGTATAATTTTATCATGAATGCAAATTCTGTTAGACTAGTGTAAATTATATATTTTTATGATATACACATGAAAAGATAAATATTCTGCAGACACCCGGCCCGTGTAATGTTTAATAATTCAACTTCTTACGTGATTACGATTGTTAGGATGTTAATACATTTATTTAGTTCAATTTCCTAAATTTCAAAAATTCAATATATTTAAAGAACTATATGCGGTATATTGCATATACTTGCCCCCACAAAAGTTACATTTTGAAAACTTCATGAAATGTGCTGAATTCAATAAATTGTATGTGAAATATAAATTAACAGAACATATTATAGTTTCAAAGCAGTTTATTCACAATTTTTGTTTTTATGACGTCACAAACTAGTCCAATTTTAGAATTTTTTTCAGAAAGAGGACAAAATGGACAAAATTTCAAAAATTTTAGCTTTTAAATTTATAGAGCGCATGTTTGTTCAGGATTAATATTTACATATTTCATTGATATTATCATTCTACACATTATATCAAAATATTGATCCTGAACACACATGCGCTCGGTGACTTTTACTCAAAATATCGGCGAAATATGTACATTTTTCTGTAGAATTCATTTAAAACTGAAATTTACGTCATGTTTGTGACGTCATTACGTACATATGACGTCATTACTTATGAAAATATTCAGTGCTTTGTAGTCAGCATATACTCCCCTGTTTAAGAACTTAATTAAATATACCTCCATCAAAGTTTGATTTGGGGGGCAAATATTGGTTATTACCGAATAAAGTTCTTTGATATTTTAGTTCTTAAATCTAAATTTTCAAACAGGTTACAAAATTTTAACATAATTATTTAGATTTTTACCATAAATGTTTAAAATTCAAATGTAAAAAAAAAAAAAAAAAAAAAAACGATTATCTTAATTTAAACTCTTGAGTTTTTAATTCTCTTAGACTTATTCTTTTATTCTTGAGTAGTATTGTTTAAAACTGTTTAAGCAATACATGTATGAGCTGCAAATTTGATGTTGGAATTTAGTTGCAAAATTGTAAATAACTATTTCAATGACAGAAAAAATAACGTTAAGAAACTTATGTTGTTCATATTTGTGATGGAAAAACCTATTTATAAGCTTCTATTGAATCAAAATTACATTGTCGTCCTGTACAATAATGAATTCTTGTATAAAACTGTTTATTATATGATTGAATAATTTCCGTCTCTCTGATTGGCTGAGATCCAACTATGTTAGAAAAATACTACGTTGTATTGACCTGCACGTGACGTTCTAGGTGAATGCAAGGATTTATTTTCTCTACATTGATCTAAAAATAGATCAGGAAATTCCAAATTGATACAAATTGTTTTGGAAAGCTATTTAAACGACTATGACTTTTTTGTGTGACCGAATATATATTTTCGGGTGAGGGTGGTAAGAGGGAATGCAGGGAACCCCCTCCAACTCTTTTACTGAACAACAATTTTTACTTTCTGGCAGTCAGTTTTCCCTGATAATACTTCTTCCTTTCAAAATTTATCCCATAAAAAGACTGACATTATATATTTTTTCATGGCAACTAAAATTGATAAAAAAAAATTGATACGACTGGTAAGGTTTATTTACATTTTGCTTCGATTTCTCTCTTGTATTGGCTTGCAAACAAGTAATGAGCTGTATCATTTTATCAGTGAATCATATAATAAAACAATTATTAATTTTCGGGGTTCTCACCATACTGCTGCTGCTATTATGTCTGTCAATAAAAAAAAACTTTGGTATTAAACATGTTTGTTTTAAACATACATTCTTCAAATGATAAATATATAATATAGTCTTTATGAATAAATTGACTCTACCATGCAGAATTTAATTCAATAAATTCAATTGATAAAACTTTTGAAATATACTTTTTTTAGTTACTTATGGTGTTTCCAGTTTTTCACAATATACTTTTCTGTGTAATGTGTTGATTAACGATTCAATCGGACAACCTTCATATACATATTGAAAAATATATTAAATTCAAGATTATGTAACTCTTTTCCCTGAAGAAGTAGGCATTTTTTAATATTAATTTTTAGTTCAAGGATGGATTCTTGTGTTTTCTTGCTAAATGTTATATTCAAAGTATATTTAGATGAAAGAGATTTAAAATATTGTATTTATCTTTCCTCAACACAATTGTACAAGTAGAATGGGAAGTGTGAAAACTGGGTTTGAAATATAACAGGGGCGAAATGGCATATAAATAGTGGTGTAAAATTAATAGTTAGGGAATCAGTTTAAAAATATATCAAACCATAAAAAATAATCATAAACATCTTCATACAGATGTACTTCATTTCAATTCTCACTGATGTACATGTAAGAGGTACATGTTTACATATATGGAAAATGACAAAATGACAAAATGTGTTTATGAAACACTGATGCCCCCGTATTTACAACATAGTGAAGATTAAACTTTTCTTAAATTCAAATTTAATATTATATTGGTACCCAAAGAAGGGTCCCCTAGCTGGAAATACAACTGTCATGTGAAATATGAAAGCCTTATCATCATTTGTTCCCAAGTTATGACCAGCTTAAAGTTCATAAGTACAGAAATCTTTAATATCAAGGCCAGGAGGTCAAGGCTATTGATATCCAACTTAAGGTCTTGCCACAAAAAATACATATGTGAAGTATGAAAGCCCTAGTCATTACTGTTTAAAAATTATTGCTAAGGTTAACATTTTTATATTTAATGTTCGATAATATCAAAGGTCAAGGTCAAAATGTATTTTCTGTAGCAAGAACTTTTATTAGATTTCAAGAACCTTGGCCTTTTGACCTTGATATTGGAGATTTCTGTACTAGTGAAAAAAATTAACCGTACTTTTGCCATAACTTTTGAACAGAAAGGGGTAGAGCTTTCATACTTCATACATTTAATTCTTGTAAGAAGACCCTTCATTGGATACCAAGAACTTTGATCCTTCGACATTGACCATGGAGTTTGACATACTTTAAAAAAAAAGAAACCTTGACCATATCTTTTAAAGGGTTAGAGCTAGTGCTTTTTTTATA